GAGATGAATTAGACTCTTCTAATTCTTTTGCCATATTTAAAACACATATTTTAATCATCTCTTTGTGAAGACAATAATGATCATCTTTGACATCTCATAGATCATGAGAGATGCCTAGTCGCATGTCATGTCCTTAGTCAATGTAATATTTACGAGAGAACCTATTCCATTGCAATTACAATGCAATATGGTCATTCTCTAATACAATGCTCTCGAGCACATTGGTTAGGCTATTTCATGTCAAGTCCCTAAGTGATAAATTCATGATCCAACTCAATAGATTTAGAACTTCATTCCAAATCACAATGCTTTGACCAAAAACTTGTGAGTCATGTCGATGAGCATTCTCCTTTAGTTGTGAAAGTTAGAGATTTCTTGTTGTACATTTACTTGCCTCCATAATTAGGTAGCTTAACCATAACTATGTCATGCACACCATTGTTAAAGGTCAATCTCGGCCCATTAAAGCCCAACCCATGGTGTTCTCTAGATTAATGCTAGAAGATTCTATTATATGCATGAGATGCATATTAAATATGGAAAATTTCTAGACATAATTTCTAGCAAAGAAGTTAGTGGAAATAGCTAGATATTTCTAGCAAGGAGGCATCCACCCCATTTGAATTAACCAAGAAGTGAGAAGTAAGAGTGATCTTGTAAGAGAGTTGTATTTGCATGGAGTGTGATTGTTCTTGTGTTTGTCTCTGAAGAGTGAGAGAGAGTCATAGCTTCTAAAATTGTGAGTCACCTTTCTTTGAGTTTGTGTGTTGTAATATTTTGTGAGTGTAATACAAGTGGTTTGTTTATTGTGAATATTCAGTTAGTTTTAACGGAATATTATGTCTCAACTACAAAATAGTTTAGGCAAGCCCAGCCCATGCATGGTGGCTCATGTGGTGGCGCGTGGCGGCAGCCCGGGGCCAAAAATTTAGAATGTCTTCCTCTGCTAAATTTGATGCCCTGAATCCGTATCTGGCATCCGTTTAGTGAAATTTCATTATTTTAACCTAGTTCTCTAGATTTCCGCCACTTAATTTTGTGATTGGCAGAAATCTGAGGCATTCCAAATCCATATAGATTATCCTAGAAGACATGTACAACGTAAAAATATGTGTTCTATCACTAAAATTCTGAAACGCGACTTGTGAATTGTTCTAGGTGACAATCGTATGTGAACGCCTCAATATTTGTGGTAGGTGGATTAGCGCAGATTCCAGGTGAGTGACTTTAATATATGTGATATCGGTGATTACCTATGAAATCTCCATGCTAGTATACTTAGTGGATATGGCATGGTTTATAAACATGCTTTCTACTAAAGTATTGCTTTTAAATTTTGTCATCAATCTATTTTATGAAATATGAGTGATATGTTATTTCAGATATTTTAAAACGTGAGGGCTAGTAAAGGATCGCTAACCCATTGTCATTGGGATTGTCATATCAAAAGTATCTTGTCTTACTTCGTTGACTCGTTTGAAACTGAGTTCCTTGTATTCTACTCGGTTCCGTTGAGTAGTCCAAAACCGATTTCTGCTGAGCTTTGGTTGAGTGGTCCAATTTCCCTGCTCTATATGGATTTCGTTAAGTGGTCTGGAGTTCATCTGTCTTCGTCTGGATTCCGTTAAGTGGTCGAAATCCCTCATACTCCATGATTTTGTTGAGTGGTCCGGAATCATATCTTGTTCGATTCTGTTGAGTAGTCTGGAACCTTGTCTTTGTCACATTCCGTTGAGTGGTCCAAAATCCCTCCTTCTTTTCGATTATGTTGAGTGGTGCAAAACCCGATCTTGTTGGATTTCATTAAGTGGTCCGAAATTGCATCCCTTTGTTGATTCGTTGGTTTCCCCAGATTCGGTCTAGAATGTGAAAGCTTAGGAATTATGGGCTTCGACCGAAATGTTTCGCTCTAACCTTAGTTTTCAATGTATTAATGAAGCATAAATTGAGAACCTTTGTGGTTTGATCTAGAAAGGCCGATAGATGTATGTGCGATGTACTTCTTCGATATTTTCAGTGGTTTGATTATGATTTTATTAAGATTGATTTTATGATTGATGTTTATAAACTGTGATCGATGGATTGGTTTATGATTATCACATACATCAGATTATTGTCATTTACACAAGCTTTGCAAGTTATTTAAGTTGTTGTTTTGCCCAGTGCACCATTCCCAAGTCTAGGGGCGATTGTGCAGGTAACATGCATTAGTAGATATAAGGAGCCCTGAGGCAATAGTCAGAGATCATAGAGTTTGGAGTGATTAGGTTACCTTTGTACTTTTCCTCGTATTTCTTTGGACATTCTTTTGGGAGCCTTTGGGCGTTACCCTAGTAAGTGTTACGAGCTTTTATGACCAGTGTTCTAAAAACCGGCCTGGGCGGGATTAATAGATAGTCGAGAGGAAAATCAGGTAAGGGATTAGGCAAACATTATGGCGGCATGGACGACTTAGGCGGCCGACTAGATGGCCTAGGCAGTTTGGGCTTTTAATTGTGTTGATGCACAAAATCGGGTCAATCTTGGACCAAAGTAAATCAGACCGTGAATCATATAAACGCACAAGAACACAAAGATATATCGTGGTTCACCTCAAGTTGAGGCTACATCCACACTGATGTTGATTCCGTTTCACTATGTAAATGAATGTTGAATATACATGGAGGCTATAGAGGCAGTGTTTGCTCTCTTTGCTTATTCTGTTTGCTCTCCTGTTTCCCCTCTGTCTGTTTCCCCTTTCTTCTTAAGTGAGTGTGAGGGGCCCTTTTATAGAATAAGAATTTCCTCCCCTCTTACATGAATCATGGGCTAAGTAATGAAGCCCAAATACTGAGGCCCAATATATGGTATAACAATATTATTGAAGTCTCCAATTAAACACCAAGGATGGTTTGTTGGTGTATGAGCTAAAATTTGATCCCAAAGATTAGCTTCTAAACGTTTCTAAGGATAAGCATAAACAAAGGTAATGAATTGCACCTTATCATTATGCAAATCTTTAACTACACAATGGAAAAAACGAGGTGAAGAGCTTAAAACAATAATACTAATGGAAGATGAGTTCCAGAACAAACAAACCCCACCAGCTCTGCCAGTGGGATTGCAGCAAAAAACCTTATCAAAGTGCCAACTGTAGAAATTGCTTTGACCTTGTCTAGGGACATCTTAGTTTCAAACAAGAAAAAAAGGTCCAGCTTAATCAAAGTACACAGAAAATTAAAATTACTACTAAAATCAGGTCTCCCAAGACCCTTACAATTCCATACCATGCACTTCATTGATCAATAATTTTGAGCTCTCAAAACTAACAAATTAACAAAAGAACTCAGTTTACCTCAAAAACTCTTCGAGAATTAAAAGGACGCACACAGAGTGGAAAATCGAGCTTGAACAAAACAAACTAACTTTTCCCCAACCTAATTTAACTAATCCAAGTAAAGCCCCAAATTTTTGAAAACCCTAACCGTAGAATTTGAAATCAGTTCAAAAAACCCAGCAAAACAAATCAAGGGCTATAAAACAACCTTAAAGACTATAGATAAACAAATCAAAACCATAAATAAAAACCTAAACGGCGAAAAGAAATAAAAAAATTTACAGTGGGAAGCAGCGGTGAGAAGACGAGATTGATAGTAAGAAATTATCAAACCCCCAGATTATCAATCCCCAAATTATCAAACTAATTAGCAAACAAATTGACCCATAAATTGGCCGAATTGGATAGAAAATTATTTGCGATGAGAAGAGGGGAATCGTCAAGGTTCTTCCTCCTTCCGCTACAAACCACCGCAAATTGACGAAACTAGGTCAAAAAATACGACTTTGCGCAGAAACCCAGAAAAGCTTCGTCGCAAACCACCACAAAGACTAGGAATTAGCTGCCCCTAAATTTTCCTAATTCCTTTCTCTCTCTATCACTCTTGCGACTTCTTTTTATTAAATTTATATGATCTCCAAAGTATATTTGGTAAAGTGCTATGGTTTGTACTCATTTAAACTTTCATCTCATTCTATTAAATTTACCAAAGTACTAAAGATATATAATAAATTTACTTAATCCGTCTAGGCTCACCTAGGCGCTAGGCACCAATCGACTGCCTGACTAGCGCCTTTTAGAACCATATTTATGATACAGTTGTAAATATAATGAATTTCAGTTTCAACATTCCGTTGTATTTCTTGGTTGTATTTCCTCATAACCCCATACAGTAGAGCGTCACGAGTTGATCCCAGATGTATATCAGGACTAGGACGTGACACAAGGCTAGTGTCAGTGTGATATGTTTTTTCTTTATTGGCATAACCCAATATCGTACAACTTCACATTCGGATGATGGGGCCTACCATGTTTTCTTCATTGGCTCAACCTAGTGTATGGTTTTCAGAAAAACCTACTACGTACTACACAATATAAGTGTTCCAAAACATAAGGTTAGTCATTAAAAAGAAAAGTTTTTTTACTTATTATGTTATAAACTATGGTCCACTTACCTTTGTTTTGCACCCCTTTTAGAACATAGAAACGAAGCATACGACCCCGGCGTTGAGGCACTCCCGTATTGGTAGCTTTAACTCCTCTGTGTAGGACATCTTTCTTTGTAATCGCATTTTTAAATAACATTCCTTCCGTTTGTGACACCGGATAACGGAGATCAAAGAGAAACCACAAGTGAGTACTCAAAGATAAACAACTCGCCACTTTAAGGAATCCACCAAAGAGATAAGAGTTTACGGATAGGAATAAAAACACTCTTCACTAAACCAAGTTTAAAAGTAATTCTTAATTTATGAATGATTTCTATACATGAGTAGTGATTTAAATAGCTAGGCATGGAACAACTTTCTACCTTCCATGAAGAGGTTACTAAGCATAAACTTAATGAGAACATGAACCATCTTTGAATTAAATTACTAAGCAACAACCTTCAACCTTCCAAATTCTATTCGGTGTCATACGCTTCCGCTGCACAATAACTCGTCCCTGAGTTCTCTTCGTCTTCTCAGCCATGATAAGGAGAAAGGTCTACAACATTGAAGGCTGATGATACTCCATAGCCTCCTGAAAGTTCAATCTTGTAAGCATTGTCTCCAACACGTTGGAGCACCTTGAAAGGACCATCTGCTTGTGGTTTCAGCTTCCCATTCTTGCCTCGAGGGAACCTTTCTTTGTGAAGATGAACCCACACCAAATCTCCTTCTTTGAATGTAGCAGGCTTTCTGTGCTTGTTGGCTTGCCTTTGATACTTCTCATTTTTCTTAATGATACGTTCTCGCACTTGTTCATGTAATTTCTTTATATACTATGCTTGTTCTTCAGTAGATCCACTGAATTGATAGCTTGTGGGTAGTGGAGCTAAGTCTAGGGGACTTATGGGATTCCATCCATAAACTGTCATGAAAGGACTAAAACCGGTTGTCTGACTGGGAGATCGATTGTAGGCAAATTCAGCTTGAGCTAAAACAAGATCCCATTGATGAATAATTTTACCCACCAACTTCTTAATAGATTTCCCAAGCTTCGGTTGATTGCTTCCTTTTGCCCATCTGTTTGGGGATGATGGGAAGAACTGAATTCTAAAGTAGTACCTAGCTTTCTCCAAAGAGTTCACCAAAAATGTCCAACAAACTTACTATCTCTGTCAGATGTGATTGTCTTTGGAATGCCATGAAGCTTGACAATTTCTTGAAAGTATAAATCAGCTACATGTGAGGCATCCAAAGTTTTATTGCAGGGAACAAAATGAGCCATTTTTTAGAATTGATCCACTACAACCATAATAGAATCTTTATTCCTCTGTGTGAGAGGCAGTCCCACAACAAAATCAATGCTTATGTCTTCCCAAGGTGCCTTAGGAACTGGTAATGGCGTGTATAACCCAGTGTTTTGGCCATGACTCTTGGCTATATAACATGTTCGACATCGCTCCACATGTCGAGTTACATCCCGAATCATTTTAGGCCAATAAAAATGTTCTTCAACAAGAGACAAGGTCTTATCTCTTCCAAAATGACCACCAAGCCCGCCTCCATGAGCTTCCGCAATAATAGCTTCTCATAATGAACAATTTAGGAATACCCAAACGAATTCCTTTGAAGAGGAATCCATTTTGTAGCAAATAAGAATCCCAAGAGCCTTTAGAACAATTATTCCAAATTTTTTGGAAAAATGGATCATCCTTGTATAGCTCCTTGATTACCTCAAATCCCCGTACTTTCATTTGCATGATATTCAGGCAAGAATGCCTTCTACTTAATGCATCAGCCACCTGGTTATGTTTGCCCGATTTGTGTTTAATATGAAATGTATAGGCTTGGAGAAATTCAACCCAACGGGCATGTCTTTGATTTAACTTGTGTTGGCCATTAATAAACTTCAAAGCTTCATGATTAGAATACAAAATAAATTCTTTCGATAAGAGATAATGGCGCCAATGATCTAGAGCCCTGATGATAGCATAGAACTCATTGTCATACGTCGAATATCTCGCGCGAGAATTAGCCAACTTCTTACTAAAGAAAACAATCGGCTTGCCTTCTTGACTTAGGACAGCTCCGATCCCCACATTAGAAGCATCACAGTCCACCTCAAACACCTTGTTAAAATCAAGAAGTACTAGAATAGGAGCCTCAGTCATTTTCCTTTTGATAAGCTCCAAGCTCTTTTGGGCCTCGTGACTCCAATGGAAAGTTCCACCTTTCAAGCATTCAATAATTGGAGCCATAACTGTATTGAATCCCCTGATAAATCTGCGATAAAAAGATGCAAAACCATGAAAGCTTCGTACTTCTTGAATCAAACTCAGGATTGGCCAACTTGTAATACCTTCTACCTTGGTAGGATCCACCATAATGCCTTCACCTGAAATGACATATCCTAGAAACACCAGTTTATTGGTCAAAAATTCACATTTCTTCAGATTAGCATACAACTTTTGTTCTTTTAGAACATTGAACACTTGACAAAGATGCTCCATGTGTGTATCTGGATCCTTGCTGAAGATAAGGATGTCATCAAAATATACAACCACAAATCGACCAATGAAAGATTTAAAGGCATGATTCATGAGTCTCATAAAAGTACTAGGCGCATTTGATAAACCAAAAGGCATTACCATCCACTCATAGAGACTATCCCTGGTTTTGAATGCAGTTTTCCATTCATCTCTGAGCCGCATACGAGTTTGATGATATCCAATCCGCAAATCAATTTTTGAGAATATAGTGGCACCATGAAGTTGATCAAGAAGATCATTAAGGCGAGGCATGGGAAACTGGTATTTGATGGTTATTTTGTTCACTGCGCAACTATCCGTACACATGTGCCATGCTTTTTCCTTTTGCTTTGGTACAAGGAGTGCGGGAACGACACAAGGGCTCATGCTTTCCCTAATCAAACCTTTGCTTAGCAGCTCATCAACTTGTCTCTGAAGCTCTTCAAATTCTTTAGGGTTCATCCTATAAGCTGCCTTATTAGGAATAGCGGCACCCAGAACGAAATCAATGCAATGTTGAATGTCTCTCAGCGGTGGAAGACCACATGGGATTTCTTTTGGAATGACATCTCTGAATTCATGAAGCAAAGGTTGCAGCTCCAATGGAATTTCTCCATTATCTTCATTATCTTGTAATACCACCAATGCATAAGCTTCTTGAGTTTCTTCAAAATCAACAAGGAAATCATATTTAGTCAACAAATTATTCCCTTCTTCCTTTTTCGGCTTTAGAGTGCCCTCTTTCTTCATAGGGCTCAAAACTATTTTAACACCATCCTTTTCAAAAGAATAAATGTTCTTGAACCCGTCATGTAGAACTTTCCTGTCATATTGCCATGGTCTCCCAAGTAGTAAATGACACGCATCCATAGGGACAACATCACCCCATACTTCATCTTTATAAAATTTTCCAATAGAAAATTGAACTAAACACCTTTGATTCACTTTTACTTCATTCCCTTTGCGTAGCCAAGAGAGCCTATACGGTCGTGGGTGGTCTACCGTTTTCAGATTCAACTTTTCCACCATAATAGCAACTATCACTTTTTCGCAGCTACCTCCATCGATAATCACATTACAAACCTTGCCATGAGAAGTACACCTTGTATGAAAGATGTCATTGCGAAGCCAATTGTCTTCTTCCACATAGGCTACATTTAAACTTCTTCGAATTACGAGGCTTTCTCCCTTGTCACCGTAAGTAATTTCTTCATCAAACCTTGGGGCTTCATCAAAATTTAGATTTGTGTCTTCGTCGACATCCTCCCCATCTTGTTTTACAAGTGAAACTATCTTGCGATTTCGACACTCAACCGCATGATGGCCATACCCTTGACACTTGAAGCAACGACCTTGTTTCGGACGGCTCGAACTTGCTAGAACTTCTTGATTATGAGTTGTCTTTACAGGTGTATCTACTTTTGGAGCGGGGCCAAGTTTAGTATTGGATGTTGACGCTCGATTGGTATTGAACTCTTTCACTCTGAATCTTGGGGTGCTACCACGTCTCTCTTTAATATGCCTCTCAACTTTCAAGGCCAATTTCTCCACATCATTATAACTCCAATAGGGCTGGAGTTGTACGATATTGCCAATTTCCAAGTGAAGTCCCCCGAGATAACGAGCAATGGTTTGCTCCTCTGACTCAACAATGTCGCAGAGCATTTGGAGTTTGTCAAATTCTGTTGTATACTCCTCCACAGACAAATCTTTTTGCTTGAAATTGTGAAACTTAAGAAAAGAATCTTGTCGATAATTTTCTGGTAGAAATTTCTTCTTCAATTCTCTCCTCATCTTTTCCCATGTTACAATTTTTCTTTTTCCTTCTCGAGCCGCTGCTTCTTGAGATGTTCCCACCAAATTGAAGCATGTTTCTTCAATTTGATAGCCACCAGTTTCACTTTGTGATCTTCTGCCACATCCTTGTAATCAAATATTCTTTCCACGGTATTGATCCAATCCATGAATTCTTCAAGCTGCATCTTGCCTTCAAATTCTGGAATGTCAACTTTGATATCAAAATTTTGTTGAAAATGATGACGCAGTCTACGATCGTTCTCATCATCCGAGACTCGATCATTGCCACCACCAAAAGGATTCTCCTCCTCGTCATCGGATTCATCATTCTCTGTTTCATGATGGGGATCATCATGTTCCAGAGGTTCGTAGAGCTCAAGACGCCGCTGGAGCTGTTGCACTTGTCTCCTTAGGTCATCCACCTCAATGTCACGCAAATCTCTCTCACGATGTGGTGAGTCCTGGTGAGCTTGTCGGCCTCCACGATGCCCACGCCTCCCAACCATGTCGAATAGAGCTCTGATAACCAATTTGACACCGGATAACGAAGATCAAAGAGAAACCACAAGTGAGTACTCCAAGATAAACAACTCGCGACTCTAAGGAATCCACCAAAGAGATAAGAGTTTACGGATAGGAAGAAAAACACTCTTCACTAAACCAAGTTTAAAAGTAATTCTTAATTTCTGAATGATTTCCATACATGAGTAGTGGTTTAAATAGCTAGGCATGGAACAACTTTCTACCTTCCATGAAGAGGTTACTAAGCATAAACTTAATGAGAACATGAACCATCTTTGAATTAAATTACTAAGCAACAACCTTCAACCTTCCAAATTCTATTCGGTGTCAGTTTGTAATCTTGATTAGTGGTATGCTTTAAACATGTTCATGTATTCCCATGTTTTGAATATTAAAGATACGTATTTTATTTATGTTTATTTTATGGCCCAAATTTGCATGCATGTTTACATGTTCTTAGCATAAGTATGATAGGATCAGGGGCGAAGCCACATGGAGGCGACAATGGGCCATGACCCATCCTCGAATTTCACCCATTTATGTGAATCGTGTGCTATTTTTTTTTTTTTTTTTTTTTTTAGAAACTTATTGTGTGCTAATTTTTACAATAAAGAGTATATGGTCCATTGGTGGATACAGTTTAAAGATTTTAGTAGGTAACAAATTCAAGACTTGCTTTTCCCAACAATCTTCTAATTTTTTTACCATACAATTTATAACTAGCCTCCTATTTTATCATATAAGTCTTCTATTTTACAATATAAGCCTTCTGATGTCAACAACCTTTTATTATTTTATACCAATTCCTTTTTTTTTCTTTTCTTGTTAGTTCATATAAACCAATTCCATACAATCTAGAAGAAGATTCAATTAAGTTGAAAGAAAAATCTCATGGTAATATATAGTTTTGAGCTATGACCTTAAATTTTGTTTGAATCCAATGTGTTAATCCTTCTTTATAAAGGCTCGTAAACAAGCTTTGTTCTTATGATATAATCATCCCAGTACTAAAGTTTTAGTTCAAATTTTAAAGCTCCATCACTCTTGTTTGATTAAAATTTTCCATGACAATACAAAAAATAAAATAAAAACTTTAATTGTTCTCCAATTAATTGTATTGCTATATATATATTTTTTTTCTAATTTCTTTCATTTGGCTCTAAGGCCCCTTCTGGGTCCGCCACTGGATAGGATGACTTGAGTCACCGTCGGGTGTCGACCATCACATGGCCAATCTAGTGTCTTCCTGACACCGGAATTGGGGCGTGTTAGGGCCATTCATATATTTTTGCTCATGGCAGTTGAGCTATAAAACTATTCGAGTATTTCTCTTTTTTCGAATGTTCACTTCCACTAACATGATGGCTTCATAGTAGTCTTAACTTGCATTTGCTTCAGGTGCATGCCTAGGCATAAACCTCTACTCTAAGGCTTAGGCAAAAAAGCGTACATCTCCCAAAGGTATAGACAAATTCAATAATTTGATGCGCCATTCAGGAAAAAAAAAAAAAAAACAACCCTTAAAAAGTGAAAGATAATAAAAAAGTTTGTGATCTCAACTCAATGACTAAGCGAGCCTACTGTTCATCAACCGTTCATTGATATTTATAATTGTACAAAGCTAATAGTAATCCGTGTAGGACAAAACTAAAGCCAGGTGATCTCCAGCAACACCAGTCGTGGAAACGCAGAAGACAGCAGTGGTTTATAAAAAAAGACTAGGCTTCTGACCATCATAACTTTCATTTGCTTCCAGCTGATCATAACTTGATTCACTGGCTAATGACTCGTCATCACTTTCATTTGCTTTGTTCTCGTAACTTGATCCACAAGCTTCCAAATTTTCATCCTGTCTTGTTTCTTCTGGTATTTTTGGTTCCCCTGATACGAAGACATGATCAACTTTGAATTTCTCAGCATCTTCAGCATAAAACGGGCATATACCACACTTTTCCACCTTCGCACTGGGAATGTGTTGTTCGTAAAACTTTGGCAGGTAGAACTCAACAGAGGCCTCATTGGCAAGTTTGTAAACATCAGGGGAGCATTTTTTTGCTACCTCTTCACTTATAAAGGCCTTATTCCACACATACACGTGATGTCGGTCATAACAGTAGCCATTCAATCTCCGAATTGGGATGTAGAATAGAGAAGTGAACAGTTCATGGCTTTCACCCAGTAATTTAACAGTGAAACTAGCTCTTACCCTTAAGTCTCCCTGGCAGTTGGAAACACAAGAAACAATGACAGAGAGAGCAAAACCTGATAAATCTGTTCGAAACCAATCTGGAGGAAGCTTGATATGAACTGAAGATCCCTCACTTTGATAGCTGAAGCTGAACCAATTTGGAATTTCTTTTCCAGGACATACAATGCTAACACAAGGGTTCCCATAAGGGTTCTTTAATGGCTCAGTTGCCACTCGCATAATTCTAATATGTGCTTCATCCATTATGCTGCTCCTTGTATTATGATCCAATTTTCGGCAATCAGAAAAATCAAGTTTCCCAAAAGAGTCGTATTTATCCCAACCTTGTATGAGTGCTGTCCATGAACTTGACACTGTATTCAGCGACGTGCATCCTTGTGCTTCAAGATCACATAACACTGGGAGCTCTGGTAATGATTGAAGCCGCTTGCACCCGATTAAGCTTAGTCTATGCAACCGAGAAGCTTGTCTGATGCTTGCAGGTATGCTCCTAATCTTGGTTTCACTCAGAATTAAATCTTGCAATGAGATTGAGCCAACAAGACTATCAGGGATTTCTGATATGCAGGTGCGACGGAGGTCAAGAACTTCCAAAGAGAGCAAACCAACAGAACCGGATGGCAACTCTTGGAGTCCCCGACAGTCACGAAAGCTGAGAGTTTTAAGGTTGGTTAAACTGTAGATACTTCTTGGGACAACATTAAGGTTCTTGCACATATCAAGATCTAATGTTTCAAGCCGAATTAGACTTCCAATAGACGAAGGAAGTTTTTCGAGCGCTGTCCCTTTCAAACTAAGAAAGTTCAGATGTTCCATTGGCTCCAAGACTGGTGGGAATTCGTAAAGAGCAGAGCAACCTGTGAGATCAAGTCTCTCAAGAGATTTCAACTTACAAATGCTCCTCGGGATACTTGAAAGCCTTTTGCAATCTCTTAGTTGAATGTTTTTAAGAGCAGGGAGAAATTCGATTGATGAGTGTAGCTCTAGAACAGCCGTTCTACTTAAACTAAGATATTCCAAATACTCCATTGGCTCCAAGATCTCTGGGAAGTTTTCAAGTTTAGAGCAGCCAGAGAGATCGAGTTCCTTGAGATATCTCAACTTACAAATGTTGGTTGGGAGACTCACAAGTCTCTTGCAACCAACCAATGATAGTTCACTTATATCCCTGGGAAGCTCAGAAACCTGGCCAAGAGATGTGCAGCCCTGTAGATCAAAACAACCAGAGATTTTCAGCTTACACCTGTTGGTTGGAAGTTTCTTAAGGTCTCTACAATCTGTTATATCCAAGTAAGAAATTTTTTCGTGAGACCAAACTGATTCAGGCAACTCCTGTATACCACTGCGATATAAATCTAAGACTTCAATATTCTCTGGCATCTCTGGAAGATATTTAAGACTTGTGCATCTTGCAAGATCAAGATGAGTAAGCTTGTGGAGATGTTGAAAACACCAAGGAATTTCAACCAAACTTTCACAGCCACAAAGATTTATGTCCACAATTTTTAGACTCCCAGATAGATTTGGAACTTCCGTTAGATATTTAGAGTACTGTAGATTGATCACTTCTAAGTTCACAAGTCTCTGCAACAAAAGTAAAGAAAAATACAGAGTATTAATAAGCAAGACTTTCTACACTGCATTTTGTACCAGAACAAAAATAAGCATATATACCTGGGGTTCATTCCAAAGCTCCTTTACTTGGCTTTCCGGCATATGAAGCTCAACTAGATTTTCAGGAGAAAAATTTGACGGCAAACTTTTGAAAGGATATCCACACCAGTAAAGATAACGAAGAGAATTGGGAAGGTTTAGAGAAGCGGTTAATTTATAGTAAGTGCCAAACTCTTCAGAGTTAACCACAATTAGCATCATTAGGTTAGACATCACTTTGAAGTCTGGACATTTCAATGTTTGCTCTTCAATCTTAAACCAGTTAATCATTATGGCTTGAACAATCGGAGTTCCCTGACAATAAGAGCCAAGTTTAAATGTAAATATATTTACAACAAAATTTAATTATTTTATTGAATATGTAGTAATCTGACGTCTTTATTATAAGTGAGTAAGTGAGGTTTTCTTTGGTGTGTTATCATCTAAAGTTCTCTATTTGCTTTTACTTAAAAAAGGAAATAAAAAGAACAGGAAATTGAATTCATTTGGCCCTTACCGTATTACTTTTCAGTAGACGATAGACATCGTCATCATTGGACAACCTATTACGTTTAGCAGGATCTTCAATACATTGTTCGTGAACGATTGTGCTTCCAATTTCTTGAAGCAAATCATGCATCTCTACGGTTTTCTTTGTTGAATGAATTGATATAAGAGACATATCAATGAGAATTCTAATTCCAGCCCCTGCAAAGAATCCACGAACAGCTAACATTTTTTTTACATGATCCACAAGCTTCCCCTTATGAAAACAAGCTATGTCCAAAAATATCTCCTTCTCATTTCTTCCCAATCCATCATAACTTAGTTTCAACACTCTTTGGATATTTTCATTGGGAAAATGTTTCAATTTGTTCAATTCATCTTCCCAGTCTTCTTTGCTCTTGCAATTTAGAAATGAGGACCCCAGAAGTACAAGAGCTAAAGGAATGCCTCCAGCATAATCCACCGCCTTTTCTGCCAACTCCTCATAATATGTTCTACAAGTACTATTATTCTTGAAAGCACGCAAACGGAAGAGCTTAAGAGCGTCATCGGGTTTTAATCCCTCAACCTCGTAGATCTTATCCTCTTCAACAGTTTGCCTAAGTGTGCTCCTATCTCTACTCGTGATAATGATTCTACTGCCAGTGCCAAACTGAAGACGATTGCCAACTAAATGTTCCATTTGCATTGAATCACTCACATCGTCAAGGACAATGAGGACCTTTGTACGACTGAGGCTTTCCCTAACAAAAGTTGACCCCATGGATAGACCTTCTTCCTTTAATATCTCTTTAAGAAGTTTATTTTGCAAGCGATACAGTCCATCTGTTTGTTCTGAGTTCTCCCTAACATTTCTAAGAAAACAGCTGGCTTCGAATTTAGAAGAAAGTTTGTGAAATATAGTTTCAGAAAGGGTGGTCTTGCCAATACCACCCATCCCCCAAATTCCTACAATGATGCAAGCGTCTGGTGAATGAATGCATAACAAAGATTCGATTTGCTCAATGCGTCTTTCAATTCCAACCAGACCCTTTAAATCACATGATGATTCACGAATCAATTTGTTCCAAATATCGTCAACCACTTTCTTGACCAAATCGGCTTCTGTCCTGGCAAGTATAATATGATTATGAAGGACAAACAATAGTTAGTAATATGTATGCCTAAACTAATTTTGTATGAATCAAATGATCACAAGTAGAAGAAAATTTATACAAATTATGGAGTTACTTAATTACCCAGTTTTGTTTGAATTATCAAACCCAGATAGATTGGCTATAGTTGTCAAAGCAGCCCTCCACTTGTGCACCTTGTCGATACTGTTCTTGAAACGTTTTTCGAGTTGAGCAAACGCAACTGCATAGTATCCCTGTTGTTTTTGTACATCTGATGGACTGATGTCATAGAAGACGGGTATAACCAGCTGGCCATATGCTTCCTTGCATCTTAGTATATGTACAAGTTCATCCAGACACCATGTGGAAGAAGCATAGTTTTGTGAGAATATGATCACCGAAAGCTTAGATTTCTCAATCGCTTTTCGCAGGGAAGGTCCAATTTCTTCTCCCCTCACAAGCCAGTAATCTATATAGGTTTCGATTTTCTTCCGAAGCAAGGCATCGTGAAGATGGCTGGTAATTCCAAGTCGGGTGTCCTCGCCTCTGAAACTTATAAACACGTCATACTTTTCCCGATGAGGAGAGATATCAACATCACCATCAGCGTCAGCAGCGTCAGCAGCGGCAGCAGTGGCAGAAGATGAAGAAGAATAAGTAAATGTTAATGATCTGCGGCACATAGACAACAGAGTCATGATACACTCCATGTCTCTCGCTGTTCCTCCCAACGCACAAGCTAATAGCCTGATACGGTTTGTGAGTATAATTAAAAAAGAGAGTGAAGTGGAACGAGTGGTTGATTATAGATGAATGTAACCAATCAAGCAAGAAAGCCGCAAAACGTTGAAACCTTTAAAGCATTCAAGCCAAGCCATTCAAATGGAAACAATGTCAAGGTCTGACTTATCACTAGCTTGTGGACGAAGAAAGTGGAGATTTCATGATAAAACTAATGGCAATATGAGGAGTAGCCAAATGACTTATAAGCGCGTGCAAGGTTTCTCGTTTTCCCAACGTGGGATTGATACTTTCAATACGCACCCCTAACATGTGCTGAATTTACAAGCCTAACACTTGTACAGCACAAATCATGTGACGTAGAGCACGTGTAGTCATTGGACCTAACATGCAAGACAACATGCTCTGGTAGGTAAGTGGCTAAATACCTCGATGGTCTTGAGGGTGAATTATCATTGAATTACATGAGTATAATAGCTTGATTTACAGGTATAATTGCTATATAAGAAATACATAAAATGAATGATTTAATTATACAAAAAAATCAGAGATCACGGAGAATCTCAAGAAAACAGGAGACATATCAATCAATATCATCTATCAATGGCAACATAGTGGTCCCAAAATGACATTTCCATTTCCTATATATATATATATATATATATAGGAAATCTTTAAGGGAAGGGAGCTCCATTTTTCAAAAAAAATAGGGACACACTCTTGACTGTTAGATTTGGCTTTAATGAAATTCTGTGGTTGAGATTCTGTGGCCTGTGATTTAATCTCAACCATAAAATTTCATTAAAGTCAAATCTAATGGTTAAGATGGTGTCCCCATTTTTTTTTTTTTAAATGGGGATCCCTTATATATATATATATATATATATATGGATTGTATTGGTACGATTACCATACCAATACTCATGTACCAATTACCATACCAAACTTTTGGTATGGCAAAATCTATTACCATTACCGTGCCAAACTTTCGGTATACCAAATTTTGGCATGCCAAATAATTCAGTTGGCATCGTATGGTAATGGTAATTACCACTTTGTTTTTTGTCACTCTTTTGGGTCAAATTTTTTTTTCTCAACCCAATTCAAGGCCCAAACATGTTTTGGCCACTCTCTTTGGGTTTTTAAAACTTTTTTAATTAATTATGAGAATTTTATAGAGATTCATTTAAGAAAAAAAAAAGTAAATAGATGGAAGAATTGTTGAAAGAACTCAGCATCTCTCAAAAAAAATAGTACAAAGATTCCTAAATTTCATCTCTACATTCTTTAAAATTGTACAAAAATTAACTTGATATACGAAGCCATGGAGAAAGACAACCCAATTTGATGAAGGAGAAGATGGGATGGACTGCGAAGAGAGAGAGTCGCCAGAACGGGAGCAACAAAGATGAAGTCCATGACAAGATGAGTGAAAATATGAAGTTGCAACAGAGAAGGCTTAGGTTTTTTTTATTGGAAAAGTAGAGGTTAGAGGGTGAGAGGATGGTTTTGGATAAATGACTAGAAAAAAATATAGAAGTGCATATATAATGATAGTAATACATAATTACATATATAATTCCAAATTCGTGGTGTGGCCAGTGGCGAAGTTACATAGGGGCGAGGAGTGGCGTCTGCCCCTCCCCTCGCCGGAAATCAAGCCCAGGAGTGGTGGTTCCGCCCCTCTGATCCTGTCGAAAATGATGAAGTTTTGTGTTCTGGGTTCATTGCTGCACGCAAGTTCCTTTTTTATTTTTTTGAAAACTAGGCTAAAACGACGTCGTTTTAGTACTGGTTAAAAAAAATTTAAAAATTCCCTTTAGTGGGACAACATCGTTTAGGTTATTGAGTTAAAAAAAATTAATAATTAAAGGAGACCACTCGTTCCCCAGTTCCTTCCCCAAATCCCATTCTTTCCGATTTCAATCAGAGAGTAACAGCTCCCCAAATGTCAGCCACAACATCCTGTTAGCCTTCCCTGCTTCCAAAGTTCAAGCCACCGCCCTGCACCCTACCACCAGTTTCCAGGTGCCATCCTTTGATTTGGTTGGCCACTTCTCTCCAAATTTTTAGATGAAATCTTTAATTTCGAAATTTATATTATCCCTAACCCTAATTCATTATTTAACACAAAATGTTGTTTAATTTATATGGAATCATAGAGTAGTTGATCAACATGGTTAATGAATATTAATTATGGATTATAGATAAGAAATTCTATAATTATTGATTAATGAAATTGTTATTTAAGGTAAAAATTGAAATTTTTATTATAGATTAATTGATTATTGATATTGATTAATTGACTTTTTGTTTATTGAATAATTTATATAATAATTGGTATTGATTGGTTTATTAGTTATTAGTCATATAGTATATTCTACTCTAAGATTAAGAATCTAAGTTTTTTTTTTCTTCGCATTATACAGTTAATTAATATAAAGATACTATAATGAGCCTAATATGCGAAGTTTTTATGGTATGAAACGTCGTCGGTAACTATTGTAATGTGTTTGTATTGATAAAACTATGGAAGATATTAATATAAAAGGATTTGATTGTTGTGATTTTTTTGAATCTTGAACTCTTTAAGTTCGCCCCTCTCCTCGACAAATCCTGGCTTCGTCACTGGGTGTGACAATATGGTATCAAAACAATAGGTTACCCTTTCTAGTGGCCTTATAAAGAAATATCTATTTGTTCTATACTGGTTACTTTGCATGACTTATAAGTTCAGATTTGTTGGTTTTGCAGTAGGCTTGCTTTAGTTAGTGCATCTTGTAGAGTTAACAATCAGTTGAAGATACGTGTTTAGAGGACAAGTTTCCGTTTTAAGGAAGAAAGATTGTAAAACCCAGCTCATATGAGGCCCTAGTGTCTGTTTGGGTTAAAACCGAACTATAGGCCCAAAGGTGGAGTTGGCCCAACCGAAGGCCCGGACGAAACTTAGGGGGCAGGAAAATGGCCACTTGCTCACCTACTCAAGGGCCAAGTGGTGTAGGCTGATCAGACTACACAGCCCAATAAAGCACTTTATGGTGGCATTCATGTAAAAAGGGCTGATGAGTCATCACCTCCAAACCGCATTCGGGCAAGGTTGTGGCTACAGGAACCCAAGCCAAAGTTGTCTATAAAAGGAAGCAGAGAAGGCAGGATTCAGGACACTCAAACAAACAAACAAATGCAAGCCTCTTCTAACCTTTGTAATAGCTCTGCTACCTTGTTCAAACTTGTTGGTAGTATCGATTCACTTTTGTTATTCTCTCTCTCTCTCTCCCTAAAGCTTTCAGACCTTTGACAAAGCTGCAAAGATAAGGACCTGCAAGAAGATCAGCCTTAACTGACAAGGTTTAATCTTGCCCGACCTTCGTGGCTCTGTCTTTGTCTTTTCTTTCTTTAAAAGCCTAGTAATATGTTGTATATTTCCAGTTATATACAAGGTGTTTCTAGTAAAATAATCATGATGAAAAGACGTCCTCAATACTTAGATCCGATTTGAATATATCTTCAGTGTTCAAACCAGATCCAAGTTCTAAGCCCGCAGGGCATGTAGATTTGATCAGTTTAAAAGTCCTTGGCCTCAAGGCATAAAAAAGAACTTTATGTGGACTTAACCCATCCACGACAATCCTTGATAAACGAGAAGTCCGAAGTTACTTGGGGCACAAGTAATCGACCTATCTCTTAGTTTTGTTTCTACTATATCCTGATTACCATAGAAAGCTTAAGTATGGAGTGAATTCTGATAGAAAGCCTCAAGGCCTACACCTAAGGCCCTACGAAGGCATCTATTTGGGTTCACTCTATGCTGCGGTCTAGATAGTCTGAGTATAAGGATGAACTCTGATGGGAAGCCTCAAGGCCTACACCTAAGGCCCCACAAAGGCACCCATTTGGGTTCGTCCTACCTCTCGGACTCGGGTAATCAAAGGTATGATAGTGATAAAACTCCAGCAACCATAAAGACCAAATATGATATATCCAAGCACTGGTTTAGTTTGACAGGAAGCCTCAAGGCCTACATCTAAGGCCCCACAAAGGCACATGTTATATCTAACACGGTTTCTCGGGCATATGCATGTTCACAACTAAAACCTAACATCTATTCAACGTCTGCCATACTGAAGATGGCAGTGGCACGCCTGAGCACCTACAAAGTTCATCTTGATTGTGAGCCTCAAGGCCTATACCTAAGGCCCCACAAAGGCACCTTTCAAATTAACTCTGTCCTTCTCTTTCAGCACTGCCCGACGAGTCTTGCCTGAGGAGTCTTGCCCGATCAAGGCTTGCCCGACGAGACTTGCCCGACTAAGCCCGAGAAGAAAGCAGAAGCCCGACAGAAGCCCTCAACCGGCGCCGACCTCCCAGGGGAGCTGTGTGCTCGTTTGCCAGAAAGTCATCCTCGACGGATATTCCTGCCACGAACATAGTTTTGGCACGCCCGGTGGGATCCTCTGATCAAAAGATAGATAAAAACATGCCAGACGATTTACAAACCACTTTCTGTCAAATGCTGCGAAGGTTGGAGAAAGCCTACACAGGCTCTAAAGGTGATGATGACTGGATTCCTCCCAAAGGGAAAAGACAAAGACCCAGCCAGACAGACGGGATGATCGTAGTTAACCCTGCATTCCCTTTCTCAGAGGCCCCCATAAATATGCTTAATATGACATGGGCGGAAAAAGGAAAATGGAAGATTACGAAGGAAGAAGAAGAAGGAAAACTGGCTAAAAGACCTACGGAGGAGATAAGCAAGCTGCCCGAATATCCAAAAGCTGCCATAATCAAAGGGTTGGTTATGTGTAGTAAATGCCAGTGTGAATGCGAGCTCGAGGTTCCCCCAGCTGGATTCCTCATTGATCACGAATTGATCAGGAGGAAAGAAGAAGATACCAGAAGAGAAGCCCGCGAAAAGATTAAGCAGGCAACAAGGAAGGATACTTCCCGAAGCATTTTTCAACGTTTAGGAGGAGATTCCCAACCCAAGTCTTTGTCAGAAGTGTTCCGAAACCATGAAGTTTCTGACGAAGCAGAAAATTTGGAGGCCAAACTCCGAGGAAATACAGATTATCTTCAGAATGGCCAAAAGGGGAGGGAAATCAAGAAAGCTGATGGGATAGTTAATCCTGTTAAGAAAACAAATCCTACACATCTTGGGCGGAAATGGTATATAGTTGGAAAGGACGGGCAGCCCACCAAGCCAATGGGAGCCTCTATGGTCAGAAGGGTTCAAAGGCAGCACAAAGCCTACATGAATTCCCTGAAGACCCCCACCACCTCTGAAACTTCCAAAAATCAAAAGCCGGAGAGACCAACATCTGGAGGTAGTAGCCAGCTGCGTTGGCGAAGTAGGAAGGAGGTGGAGAAGGCTAACAGCAAAACGGAGGGTGTGGGAGATCATGTGCCACAGAGCCAACATCCTGGGAAATATAGGATCTTGAGAAAAGCTTAAGAAGATCTGGTTATGGTGCCAACCCCTGGTTGGAAGCCGGAGCCTACCCATGAAGGAACTATCACACCTGAAAGGAGGCCACCCTCTCTGCCATTGGTGGATCCTTTTGGTGAAGTTCCAAAGCAGGCGTTGTATGAGGGCATGGATCAACCACTACAGGAAGGAATGCCAGAACCATTACTTCCAGCAGATGCAATGGCCTGGTTAGACGAATTCATGGACCAAATTGGGAGCAAGAAGGAAGATTTGCTCGAACCTAATGACTTCCACATCAACATGACGTATGTATTATCCGCCACGTTTGGCGCCAAGCCGGATCAGCCCGCTACTATGAAGGGTGATTACTTAACAACTGAACCCATGATGGCTCACGTCAATGTGGAAGTAGCTGAAGAAGAAGATTCGGGCAAGGCTGAGCCTTCAGAAGCAACCAGAGGTGGTCATTTGAGGGTTTACACAGACGAAATGGTGTTCAGTCACCCGAGTATTTCGTTGGCCAATCATCTGAAGCCTATATACGTTTCAGCTCACCTGGAAGGCGTGCCCTTCAAAAGAATTTTAATTGATGGATGAGCAGTTGTTAACGTGTTACCAGCCAAACAAATGAGGAAGATGGGGAAAGGCACAGAAGATCTTATTCCCACAGACCTTACGGTCTCGAGCTTCTCAGGTGCTATCACCAGGACTCATGGGATATTGCCTTTGGAAGTGGACTTGGGGTCCAAAAAGATAATGCTGGCATTCTTTGTGGTGGACTGCACCGCCACTTACGGGGCCCTGCTTGGAAGAGATTGGATCCACCAAGGTTTAGCCATACCTTCCACTCTTCATCAACAAGTGGCTGTATATCATGAAGCAGGTGCAGAAGGACCAGGCTTTTGGGAGATAGTAGAGGCCGAATCACGGCCATTCCTCCCCTCAGCCAATGTTGCGGAAGCAAGTTTCTACAATCCCAGCGTAGGAAACTTGAAGTGTTCAGGAGCTGATAAGAACGGCCGCCCAACCAAGGTGACGGCCCAAAAGCTTCTAGAACAAGGGATGCTCCTTACCAAGGAGGAGTGGGAAAGGCCTTGTCTCATACCAAATTCCCTACACCATCAATGATTGAACAAAAGAGAAGAGATCAGGTCATGGCAGTCAGATCCCTGATTAAAAGACTGCTGGTGTATGGAAAGGGAAGAAGACAGGAAAATGAACTCTTAGATAAGGAAGAGCAGGAATGGCAGGAGAAAGCTTCAACCAGCCAGCACGGAAACGAAGAAGAATCTTGAAAAGAAGAGTTAGATAGGGCTATTCAAATGGCCGAATGCATCTATGATATAGACGAGCCAGACGATCTGCCCGAGAACCCAGAATTGGTTGAGTTCTTGTGTGCAGAACCTAATAAGCCACCACCAGAAGTCCAGGATCCTTTGGAAGTTATTGATCTAGGCACGGAGGAAGATCCAAGACCAATTCAGATCAGTGGTTTATTAGGAGTTGAAGATCGGGCCAGGATTATTTGTCTTTTGCAAGAGTTCAAAGATTGTTTTGCTTGGCATTATACCGAGATGCCAGGGTTAGATCCAGCCTTTGTGGAACATAGAATGCCCATCAAGGAAGGATATGAACCAGTCAAGCAAGCACCACGGAGGATGTCAAAGGAGATAGAAGAAAAAGTCAAAGAAGAGATTGAGAGGCTGGTGAAAGCTGGCTTTATCAGACCGGCCAAATACGTGGAATGGTTAGCCAACATTATACCTGTTTTAAAAGCTATAACAAAAGCAGTACGATGTTGTGTTGATTATAGAAATATTAATAATGCTACGCCAAAAGATGAATATCCCATGCCCATGGCCGACCTATCCATAGATGCAGTAGCAAAACATAAAGTTTTATCTTTTATGGATGGGAATGTTGGTTACAATCAGATAAAGATGGCACCAGATGACATTCATAAAATAGCCTTTAGGTGTCCCAGTCATGTGGGGGCATATAAGTATCTAGTCATGCCATTCGGGCTCAAGAATGCTGGCGCAACCTATCAAAGGGCAATGAATGCTATTTTTCATGATCTAATTGGCCAGAGCATGGAAGTGTATATTGATGACATCGTGGTGAAGTCTAAAACAGAAGAGCAGCATCTAGTAGACCTCAGGCGAGCGTTGATGAGGATGCGGATCCACAAATTAAAGATGAATCCAAAGAAGTGCGCATTTGGAGTGAGAGCGGGCAACTTCTTGGGATTCTTGGTGCATCAGAGAGGTGTAGAAGTGAACAAAAACAAGTCTCGGGCAATATTGGAGTCACCTCCACCCATCAACAAAGTACAGCTTCAGAGGCTATTAGGCAAAATCAACTTCTTGAGGAGATTCATTGCCAATTTAGCGGGCAAAATCCAGCCGCTGACTCCTCTATTAAGATTGAAGGACAAAGAGAATTTTGAGTGGGGGCCGACCCACCAACAGGCATTTGACAGCATCAAAGCCTACCTAACCTCTCCACCAGTGCTGGTACCACCTCAAATGGGGAAGCCCTTGAAGCTGTATATTTCTGCTTCGGAAAAATCAATCGGGAGTTTACTAGCCCAGAATAATGAAGGTGGAAAGGAGCAGGCTGTATATTATCTCAGCAGAATTCTGACCGAGGTAGAGACAAGATATTCTCCAGTGGAGAGATTGTGTTTAGCTCTATATTTTACTGCCAACAAGCTAAGGCATTACATGCTACCTTGTCACGTGCACATCATCGCCAAACGGATGTGATAAAATACATGTTGTCAAAGCCTATGCTAGCAGGAAGGATCGGGAAGTGGATTTTAGCACTGTCAGAGTTCAGTTTTCAATATGTCCCTCAAAGGGCAATCAAAGGCCAGGCAATTGCTGACTTCCTGACTGAGCATCAAGAACCTCAAAATGAGGTAATCAACATCCCGGGAAGTCTGGAGGTTACTAGTGTTTGGATCCCATCGAGAAGTGATGTTTCGGGCGAAGAAGACTGGATCCAGCAAGAAATAAGAAGAGTAACGGGCCTCTGGATCACACCTTGGAAGCTGTATTTTGATGGATCCCACACTCAGAAGGCAGCAGGAGCTGGGATTGTGATTATTAATCCCCAAGGGGTTAATCATTACTACTCATTTCTGCTCGATTACCAGGGAAATACTAATAATCGGGCAGAGTATGAGGCTTTGATTATTGGTCTGGAAATCCTAATGGATTTGGGAGCAACTGAGGTGGAGATCTTTGGTGATTCAGAATTAGTAATAAACCAGCTGAATGGCGAGTTTAAGTGCAGACATATCACCATGGCGGGGTACTATATGGCAGCGACGCAATTATTGAGTTTCTGGGAGTCTGAGATATCGGTCAATCACGTTCCTAGGGGATCTAACTTAGCAGCCAATGAGATGGCGTAACTAGCTTCAAGAGTGCCAACGCAGGAAAAGAAGTATGGTGTGGATGTCGAGATCCAAACAAGAAACCTTCCTTCTATCTTAGATAGGGGATTCAGTCTGGACGTAATGGTCCTAGAAACCAAGGTAGAAGATTGGAGGTCACCTATCATTCATCATTTGAAGGATCCTTCTTCACCCACAAGTAAGAAGAATAGGCAGCAAGCAACCAAGTATGTCTTGTGGGCGAAGAATCTGCTGAGGAAGACCCCAGATGGGTTACTGTTAAAATGCTTAGGCCAAGAAGAATCCATGAGAGTAATGGCCGAAGTACATGAAGGAATATGTGGAGCACATCAAGCAGAGACAAAGATGAGATGGCTACTCAGAAGATACGGTTATTTCTGGCCCGACATGGAAAAGGATTGCAAGTCTTATGCCCACGGTTGTGAGGAATGTCAGAGGCATGAACCTCTCCAGCACGTGCCGTCGGTGCCTTTGAATCCAGTGGTCAAACCTTGGCCGTTCCGAGGATGGGCAATAGACTTCATCGGGCAAATCTATCCAGCCTCTAGTAAAGGGCATACTTTTATAATTGTAGCAACGGATTACTTCACCAAGTGGGTGGAAGCATCAGCAGTGAAATCCATAACTTCAGCAGTGGTCAAGAATTTTATCGAGACCAAGATCCTGCATAGGTATGGGGTGCCTGAAACTATAGTAACGGATCGTGGGCCATCTTTTATTTCAAAAGAGGTCGAGGAATTTGCAAGCAAGTACAAGATAAAGATGATTCAGTCCAGTCCATACTATCCTTAGTCAAATGGGCAGGCAGAGGCTAGCAACAAGATCCTGGTCAACATTATCAAAAGGATGGTGATAGATAGTCCAGAGAAGTGGCACGAGATGCTGGGAAATACGTTGTGGGCATACAGAACTTCTAAAAGAGCGGGGACAAGCACAACTCCTTATGCCTTAACTTTCGGGCAAGATGCAGTACTTCCCATGGAGATCAACGTTAGTTCCGTAAGAATTCAAAACCAATTTAGGTTACATAGTGCAGAATATATCGAAGCCATGTGTCAAGGCGTTGAGGACTTGGATGCAGCCCGAATTGAAGCCTTGAACCAAATTCAAGAGGGAAAAATAGTTGTTGCCCGAGCCTATAACAAGAAGGTGAGAATAAAATCGTTCAAGGAAGGAGATTTAGTGTGGAAAACAATCCTCCCGCTAGGGGCTCAGCTTCGAGGCTTTGGGAAGTGGAGCCCGACATGGGAAGGTCCTTTCATTATTAGTCAGGTTTTGACTAAAGGAGGATACTATCTAGCGGACCTCAAAGGCAATAAGCAGAAACACCCCATTAATGTGAAATTCTTGAAAAAATATTGTCCTAGATTATGGGATGTTAGGGATTGCTATATTGACGAGGGGGCAGAGTAAGGCGAACTTCAGAAGTTTCATATGCAGTATTTTGTTCGTCAAACATTCAAAAAAAGGGCAGAAAGACAGAAATTGATAAAAAGTATTTATTTCATGTCGACAAATTGGTGAAATTACAAGATTCAAAGCCTATGTATTACATTTGATCCTCTTTGAAAGTGGTGGTGTCTTCAGCTGGTTTCCCGATGTCTTCATGGATGGAACCCGATCAGGTGATCGGGTTGTGCGGCCAACATGAGCCTGGTAGAGGACCCCCCGACGAGACCGTCACCATATATGATGGTGAAGCCCAACTTATCACCGCAGATTGCGGAAGGATAAGCCATCAGGAGGAGGTCGCCTGACCAGGGTTGTTGGAGATAGAGGGGTGATCGACCAAGGGTGTTGGAGATAGCAGTTATCAGGTGAAGCCTCTTTTTCTCGCGAAAATGAAGCTTTAGAAATAGCCACTCAAAAACTGGAAAACCCATGTCTCAGATGAGGCAAGAATGCTCAAGATGGGTTGAAGTCGAAGGCCAGAATAAAAAGGATTTGTTGGTTGGGTAGAAGGATTTCCAAAGCCGGAATTTATAGAAAACCAGAGGGTAGTTCGGAGGTCGTGAGAAGCTCAAGGGGCACGCATGCTGATATTCAATCAATGTTGGCGTTTGGGATCCCAACCTTAACATTAATTGAAGGGGGCACTGTTTGGGTTAAAACCGAACTATAGGCCCAAAGGTGGAGTCGGCCCAACCGAAGGCCTGGACGAAACTTAAGGGGCAGGAAAATGGCCACTTGCTCACCTACTCAAGGGCCAAGTGGTGTAGGCTGATCAGACTACACAGCCCAATAAAGCACTTTATGGTGGCATTCATGTAAAAAGGGCTGATGAGTCATCACCTCCAAACCGCATTCGGGCAAGGTTGTGGCTACAGGAACCCAAGCCAAAGTTGTCTATAAAAGGAAGTAGAGAAGGCAGGATTCATGACACTCAAACAAACAAACAAATGCAAGCCAAAACTCTGCTCAAAGCCAGATTTTCCTTCCAAACAAAGCTGTAGTCAGCAAAGTCTTCATCCCATTCGGGACCAGCCTTTATCCCCCGCGGGATACTCTTTTCTTCTAACCTTTGTAATAGCTCTGCTACCTTGTTCAAACTTGTTGGTAGTATCGATTCACTTTTGTTATTCTCTCTCTCTCTCCCTAAAGCTTTCAGACCTTTGACAAAGCTGCAAAGATAGGGACCTGCAAGAAGATCAGCCTTAACTGACAAGGTTTAATCTTGCCCGACCTTCGTGGCTCTGTCTTTGTCTTTTCTTTCTTTAAAAGCCTAGTAATATGTTGTATATTTCCAGTTATATACAAGGTGTTTCTAGCAAAATAATCATGATGAAAAGACGTCCTCAATACTTAGATCCGATTTGAATATATCTTCAGTGTTCAAACCAGATCCAAGTTCTAAGCCCGCAGGGCATGTAGATTTGATCAGTTTAAAAGTCCTTGGCCTCAAGGCATAAAAAAGAACTTTATGTGGACTTAACCCATCCACGACAATCCTTGATAAACGAGAAGTCCGAAGTTACTTGGGGCGCAAGTAATCGACCTATCTCTTAGTTTTGTTTCTACTATATCCTGATTACCATAGAAAGCTTAAGTATGGAGTGAATTCTGATAGAAAGCCTCAAGGCCTACACCTAAGGCCCCACGAAGGCATCTATTTGGGTTCACTCTATGCTGCGGTCTAGATAGTCTGAGTATAAGGATGAACTCTGATGGGAAGCCTCAAGGCATACACCTAAGGCCCCACAAAGGCACCCATTTGGGTTCGTCCTACCTCTCGGACTCGGGTAATCAAAGGTATGATAGTGATAAAACTCCAGCAACCATAAAGACCAAATATGATATATCCAAGCACTGGTTTAGTTTGACAGGAAGCCTCAAGGCCTACACCTAAGGCCCCACAAAGGCACCTGTTATATCTAACACGGTTTCTCGGGCATATGCATATTCACAACTAAAACCTAACATCTATTCAACGTCTGCCATACTGAAGATGGCAGTGGCACGCCTGAGCACCTACAAAGTTAATCTTGATTGTGAGCCTCAAGGCCTATACCTAAGGCCCCACAAAGGCACCTTTCAAATTAACTCTGTCCTTCTCTTTCAGCACTGCCCGAGGAGTCTTGCCCGATCAAGGCTTGCCCGACGAGACTTGCCCGACTAAGCCCGAGAAGAAAGCAGAAGCCCGACAGAAGCCCTCAACCGGCGCCGACCTTCCAGGGGAGCTGTGTGCTCGTTTGCCAGGAAGTCATCCTCGACGGATATTCCTGCCACGAACAGTGTCATTTGCTAAACTTAATTCTTGCGCGAAACATAAATATTTTGACCCTTCAAACTACACATCATCTTTAAAGTTCAGTTGCCAACTTGCATAAAGCAAACCCTCACTTGATGTGATATTCCGTCCCAACTTTTAGTGATTTATTTTGTATTTAAAGTATTTCGGATATTTAATTAAAGTTAGTTAGTTAAATTCTTCGATTTTGGGAAAAAGTGAATTGAGGGGTATTTCAAATTTTACTTGACCTTTTGGGTCAAGTCTTGAGCTAGTTATTAGATCTTGATCCCATGAGCGCGCAGGCGCAAACAGATCCTAATTCCGAGTTAGAACGAAAAAGTTAAAAACGTTTTAAGTTGGAGGGCATTTTGGTAAGAGTGCTATTAATTGAGGGAAACTTCCGAAAAGTTCCAAAAGCTTCAAAAAAAAGGAAGTCTGATTGCAAACCTGTTTTAGGGGGTGATCGGGTCGCCGACCCGGTTGGTTGACCTGGTCATTTCTCCTCCGTCAGATCGTTGTTTTAAGTGATCTTGGTGTCTATGGAAAGCTCTCAATAAGACCCGGTTGGTTGACCTAGTCAATTCTCCTCCTTCAGATCTCTGTTTTGAGTGATCTTGGTGTCTATGGAAAGCTCTGAATAAGCCCAATGTCTTGGTGGTGTTAGATTTCTCAAGGAAAAATTAGGTTTTCATCCATCTTTCTTCTATTCCATTAATTAAAACCTTATTTCTTTACAATTTTTTATCAAGGTCCTTAAGTTTTAATGAATGTCATTATTTCAATAATAAAATATTTACATATTAGCATAATTCAACAATTTTCTAAAATATATTAATTTAGTATTATAAATGTTACATTTGGTATATTTATATTTATGGCAATACTTTGTATCATATATTTTTATTTCTAGTTTGTACCCAATTTTAATTTGCAACCTTTTTTTAAATTTGTACTAAATTTTTTTTTAGTTTTAAATTGTACCCATATATTAATTTCTTTTTTGCCCTTTTCTTTAAAGATTTATTTGTAGTCTAGTTTTTTTTTATTATTATTTGTACCCATAATTTATCCATAATGTACCCATTCTACTTTATAAATGTACAACTTCTTTATATGTAAAATGTACCCTCTTTTTTTTTTTTTTTTTTTTTTTTTGTAAATGTACCATTTTTTATGTAAAATCTATAAATGTACCCCTTTTTCAATTTCAAATGTACTATTATTTAAAAATATAAAATAAAACATTTTATTTTGTGAAAAACTAAAAAATCTGAAAAGTGTAAGATGAATTATCACTCTTTGAAAGATTATAGGGAGAAATTAAGACTAAAATTTAATATTTTGTCTTTTAATTAAAGTATTCAAATTAATTAATTTATTCTAAGATTTTGGTATAATAAAATTTCAATCGAAATAATGTATCCATATGAATTTTCAGGTACATTACTGTATAGCTTATTTACAATTTTTTAACACTATGGATACATTCTTTTGCTATTTATGATTCCATATTATTACATTGTTTTTAAGGAAAACTAATGAAAAGTGCTTGAAAACTTTGAGTTTTAACGATAAGAACAAAATAAAGGGTAAAGTAAATAGGACCAAGTTTGACTTTTTAGTGTAAAAATGTGGTTTTTCGTTAAAATGAACAGTACTGTGGGCTTTTCGTTAAAACTCCCTTGTTTTTATTCATTTTTTCAATAAAAAATTTTGAAAACTTTTTACTATAGCCATTTCATATTATTACATTGTAATATAATACGTGCAAGATCCCACATCGCCCAGGGATGAGGATCATGTAAGCCTTATATGTATATTCACATCTATACCTAGCACAAGGCCTTTTGGGAGCTTACTGGCTTCGGGTTCCATTGGAACTCCTAAGTTAAGCGAGTTCGCGCGAGAGCAATCCCATGATGGGTGACCCACTGGGAAGTTCTCGTGTGAGTTCCCAAAAACAAAATCATGAGAGCGTGATCGGGGCCCAAAACGGACAATATCGTGCTACGGCGGAGTCGAGCCCGGGATGTGGTAGGGGCCCAGGCCGGAATGTGACAATGAGGGACTTTAAATCTAGGATTTATATACCACATATATATACACACACAATATGGGATTATAAATCTCATAAATGTCAAACATATAGAAATATACATATTAATATTGATATAATGAGGTTTTCAAAGTCAAGAGACTTTGATCAAAAATTGAATACCATTAAAGTTTTAAAGAGTGTTAGTGACTAGGGACCAAATCCAAAGTCTCCCATTTCCTAATTTATCACTACAGAGTACGAGTTCAGTTCACTGTAGTACACAACTTCACATGCATGTAAGCAAGTAATTTTATTAATTAAATCAATAAATACTCAAAAACAAATTAAATGAATTATTTGAATCCTACTAGGCTTTTTTTTTGGGGGGGGGGGGGTTCTGTTTGTTTGCCCTCACTAAGTGTCACTGGACTAGACTGGCCTAACTATTAGTCTAGTCTCATGTTTGTTCCGTAGTGGTATTATGTTTAATGAGATTAAAGGGAACTCGCATGGACAAACTCCTTCACTAGGAGTTCTTAGCAAGACCTCCCAATACCCATGGGATTGCTAAGTCCTCGTCTACTCCGTCTTCGTATGCTCCATCTCATCCTCTCTCTGCTCTTTGTTCTCTTGAGCACCGACAGCCACCATCACACCACAACTCGCCAACTATAATGAGATCACACCACCATCCCACCACCACTCTCTCTCTCTCTCCTCACCCTAAACCCAGAATTTCTAACTAAGGAAGATCCCGCTCTTACTGTCGTCTGTCCAACTCTAGTCGTCTACTTAGTTGCGCTTTGAACTCGACCTCGGACTTGTCGGCTTCACACGATTGACGGGATCTTGTGAACCCAGATGTGGGTGAGCCACCCAGTGCGCTTGAAGGAATATGGGAGGCAAAAAACCCCAGAGCCTACAATGGCAATAAAGTCATTGGCTGGATTAGGACGACATCTGGGTTCACAAGATCCCGTCAATCGTGC